CACACCAGATGCAGAGACTGTACTACAAAACTGCACTCATTGTCAAGGAGGGAGTTCTGATTCACAGTGACCCACATAGGATAGGGGAGAACTGCCCCTCTGGGTTCCCAAGGCTATAAACCTTCACAGGCGCAGAAAGCCTCATCTTTCTTCTACAGAACAGCTGGTGGCTTCAAACTGCTGACCTTGCAGTTAACAGCCCAATTCGTAATCCTCGACACCCTCAGAGCTCCTTTGACTGTACTACAAAGTACCTTAAAAACACTTTCCAAAACATGGGGAATATATTGTCACGGACTTGTACACATTTTTTTTTAAAAAGGCAAAAAGGCAAATGTTTTGCTATGTGTATTTTTAATCGCAATAGATGTCTTTAAATATTTGGTACACCATTAGAAAATGAATGAAGTAATTAATAGAGCTTTTAAAAAAGCCATACCCTACATCCAACTCTTAGAATGTCAATTTGAAACATCTCAAGATTATTTTATATGAATAAATGATACTGTGCCATTTTTATTGTCTGAATAAAATTTGTTTTTGAATTTCCTAAAACACTTTCTTTATTAAGAATTTCAATGTTACTGCACCCTCAAACCCATTTAAAAGCTTGAGGACTGCTTCATTCACAAAACAGAAGAAACAAATCAGCCAACCCACTTTGGTTCCGAGAGTAGGAATTATGTTCAGAAGGTCACAGGGCATAACTCTAACCACACGATTCTCTTCTTCTAAGGTTTACAACCTTCTCCATCTCTAAGCAGTGTTTACCTACGACAGGACCTAGTCCACAGGAAGAGGTGAGTGGGTCTGGCTGAGAGGAGCAGCTTACGCTGAACCGAGCAGCAACATGCACAACTTGGACTTGGTTTGAACAGTGAACTAATCAGAAGTTGATGACGATGATGGAAGGAGAGCAACAAAAGGATGAGGAGGGAGATGGACCTGGAGGAAGGAAGAGGAGGAGAGAGAAAAAGAAAGGTAGAGGAAGGTGAGGCAGAAAGAACCACGTAATAATTTCTGAACAACTAAATCCCATGTCAGAGGTTATATTAAATATCTTATTTACATTGTCTCATTTAATTCTCACAAGAACACCATGGAGGATTCCTGGTGGCATAGCAGGTTAAGCACTGTGCTTATAATCATAGGGTCGGCAGTTCAAAACCACCAGCTGCTCCACTGGAGAAAGATGAGGCTTTCTACTGCTGTAAAGACTCACGGTCTCGGAAATTCACAGAGCAGTTCTACTCTGTCCCATGGGGCTGCAAGGGGGAAATGGGCTCGATGGCAGTGAGTCTGGCTTTGGGTTTGAGAACAATATGAGGCAAGCATATCAGCACCCACATGCCACCACTAGGAATTGACCTTCAGAGGGGTGAACATACTTGGCCAAGGTTACACAGCTAGTGAAGGGCAAAGCCACCGCTTAAACAACAAAACCCCTGAGACCTGAGCCAATAACCACCAGCTCTCTCTGTCCATCCTGTCTCTTTAATGATATTGTGTTTCTACCAATTTAAAGAGTAATTTAGGATGTGACCCAAAAGGCATCTGCCATTAAATGTATAGCTAAGTGATCACATCATTTTTTTTTTAAACACTAGCTTGAATAACACAGTGGGGAATTCTGCAGAACCACTATCGATCGCATTAGTGGTGTATTCCCAAAACAGAGGGGTGGAGGTGAAGGAATCCAAGTCCCACTCAGGCCTCTCCAAGGCCCAATGTAATGACTCTTTCCGCTGAGGGTCCAGAAGATGGGCCACAAACAAGGAGAGAGAACACAAGTCCCTGGTAGGAAGGAGCCCAGCCCCCTAAGCAGCGGGCAGAGGATTCGATTTTGAAGCCGTTAGAAACCAACAGACGCAAGCAAACGAGGCAGCTGAACATTGGGGGGAGAAAAAGTTAACGGCTCTCTGCCCATTTTCTTCAGCCCAAAAAAGAAGGGCTCATCAGCTGTCCTGACTAATTAAATACTTCACTAATTGGTGGGCATCTGGGAAGGAAAACAAAACATAAATATGAGGTGGGAAAAGTTTATCTTCACACAGAAGAACAAAACAATGAAAGGAGCTTACTATTTTAGCTAAGAAACTAGGTTAGATTTGGGGGTGGGGGGGGCAAGAAAATATTAGGGAATACAAAGATATGTGGAACTATGTAGGGCTCCCTCATACTTTCTGCATAGCTATTTAATAGGGGCCCACAGATAGAAACAAAAAGATATAGAGATATGTTTAGTGAAAAAATTCTACCAATACAGTGTTAAACCTCCACACTTGAAAGAAAACAAAAAGAAATAAACTTTGTGAGTGAAGGAAGGAACAGGACGTACAGCCTCAACTCGTCTTTGTTCCTGTATCTTTAGAAACAACCACTGCAGCAATGAGACTTGTGAAACACCAAAAACAGGCCCTTTTAAAGAGAAGTTGTGGCCTTCCCAGAAAAAGCTCAGAATTCATAAAACTCTTTTCCTCCTTGCTTCTGACCATTTAAATTAAATTATACATTCTCTCTCTCTCTCTCTCTCTCTGTCTGTGTCTCTCTCTCTCTCTCTTTCCTCTTCAAAAAAAAAGAAGAAAAGGAACATAGCTCCATCTTCCCCAACAATATAATCTGATTCCGGGGTGGAAAAAAAGCAGTTGCAGAGACTTAAGGTTGTGCGAGGCTCTTTGATCTGCACCCTGATGAGTGAACATTCCCCTTTGCTGCGAGCCAACTAATGAAGGGATGAAATTAGCTTTTATCCTGGGCACTTTCCTGAGCAAAAAAACATGGGCTAATCAGCTGTCCTCACTAATCAGTCATCTGGCTAATGACCTTTTGCCATCACGCGTTAAAATTTCTGAATGATGTAGAAAAGGGGAAACACAAACCAGTCCCCCTTTCTCGTCTGGGAACTGAGCCTCTCAGGTTAAATGGCAAATCTGCATCCTGGCGAGGTGATAAATCTGTAATCAGGAACTGCACGCTTCAGGACCTCAATGGAGCATCATTACTCCACCGCTGAATTAAGAGTTTTTAACTAGAAACAGACCAAAGATAAACTCAACCCTCATGATTTTCTTTATATTCTGTTTAGGAGGAAAATGTCCTATATTGGTCAGTAGTCCGAGTTCATTTTTTAAGCTTATTTTAATGCAG